CTCGATTTGTAATTGTCGATACACACGAATAACTTTATTTTGTATAATCCTATAAACATCAAATGTATTGTACATATATCGAATTTTTAATACATTTTTTGATGTATATTTTTAAATTTTATTTTTTACTTCTTTTAAAATTCGATAATTATGATTCGATAAACAATTAATAAACAATTTTTAAAATAAACAATATGCATATCATTTTTATAGAAATTATTATAGTATTACATTTTAGGTTCATATTTGTAAATTTGATACAAAATCTACTAATTATACTAACTATTATCATTCGAATATAAGACGGGCAAAATCTTAATTAGCGATACTTATATAGAACTCTGTTAATACCATAAAGAAGAACTTGCCTTTTCAACGCGATAGAATTGAACAGATTAAAGACGCGACAACTTCGGTTAGACGTAATCTTCGAGAACTGAACTTGCAATTTTCAAACAATCCAATTAATTTACTCGTTGAGGAATCTCGTTCTGGCAAATCACAGGCCCGGCTAACTATAATTGAGGGAATTAGAACCGGAGCACACGCGTCTCTCTCTCTCTCTCGTGTTACAGATCCACGGTTGAATGTATAGCCTCTTACAGACCGTTGACGCACAGCTATCCCGAGGTGGAATGTCCAATTATGAGTTCTCGACACACCGGTTACGCTTCGCAGAGAAAGACGCGAGGGAATTTCCGAACCTCTTGATCTCCTAACCAGCGTAGCCTCTTAGTGTTCGATATATCGATTGTCAAGTTCCCGCTGGGATTACCAAGTTTGCATTCTCGTGCACAAAGGATTCCTGTTGTAAATGTTGACGCAATAAGATCGATCCTAGTTCAGTGGTTTTGCCAACTACTGTATCTCATGTTGATACCGAAGTGATAAATTAATGATGATTTTTCAAATAGCAGTTTACTCCTCTCTCAGATCCGCAAAATTATAGAAAGTTCAATTTTATTGTAGCGTCATATTTTTACATTTCTTTACTTTTTCCCTCTTTCTCTTATAGGTATAATAAAAATTTATAAAGTATAATATGTAAAAATGTCACATAAAAATCCGTTATAAATTACATGTCATATCAAAGGTAGTCTTATACAGGATGTTAAAAATTTAGATCAACAAACTTTGAAGATAGAAAGAAGACTTCAAAATAATTTTCTCTATAACGTTTAGTTTTAATATGATGTGATTACATGATGTGAAATATGAGTTTTTCAAAGAGTGAATTAAAGAGTGAATTTTGTTCAAGATTAAAATACAATTTAATTTTTTTACTTATACGTTTGCTTATTGTTTAAGTCACATAAATTATTTCATAGCATGTAATATAAAACTAAAAACGTCGTAAAGAAAAATAGTATTAACAAAAAATTTTATTTTCAAGTTTTCTATTTTCCTTCAAAATTTGTCGGTCTAATTTTTTAACAGTTAACACACTGCGTATTTTAAAATTACGAAAATTTTTGAATTATTACAAGCTAAACCATGTAATTACATTTACCTCATATAATCGCACATGAAAGTCGATAATACGTCGTAATTGCTTTCGCAACTGTATATATTTACGATAAAATAATGTCAAGTGATGCTTGACTTTGAGTGAAAATAAGCGTTACTTATTGAATGGAGTTTGTAGAATCTTTTATGTAACAATTACTCGACGTTAATGGATTTTAACTGTTACTACATATACAATAAATAAGCGAGTTGTGATACTCTTAGAGAATAATGCGATTTCTGTGCTCTCCAACGAACAAGTTCCACCCCGGTGAATTTCTGTGACATATGTCACAGCATGATAGAATGCATTATGCATATAAATGATATAAGCCATTTTGCTCATTTTGCTCATTTTTGTAAGGAGAGGCTTTAGACTATATTATAAAATTTAAATACCTTTCTTTTCTTATGAGCCCTTTAAAAGAATTCAATTTTTCATTGCTATACCAAAACAATTACATGTGACGATTAATACACGAAATTCCGGTGAGAATATCATATGAGAGATGCGGTGGATTATATCTCTGTTGATGGTGAGGCAGTAAATTTACTTGTCATCTGAAAGCGTGTCACGCGGTCGGAATTTGTGGAAAGATGCCGACGATATAGAAGAAAGTAATTTAGATCACTTCTCAAAGGGATCCAATTTGAAGCGCGCCATGAAATTACAACCACCAGGTCATGAGTCAGGTCTCTTGGTTGTAACTTAGACGTAGGTCCAATTTTATTAGAACTCGGGAATTTAGTTGGAAAAAAATATTTAGACCATTATTACGTATATACATATATAAATGTGTTTACCTTTTGTCGTAATGCAATACTACTGTCTTGTTATCAGAGAAGAAAATATCGAATGAAAACGTGCTATTCCTCTTATATTTCAACATAGATATTTAAATTTAAAAAACGTAATAAATTAAAAATGAAATTGTAATCTCTGAAAACTTATATATTTTATTAACTGTCATTTCCATAATTATGACAGTACTTGTTTTATTTGCATAGGATTTGATATAAAATTTTTACCAAAAAATTATTTTATTATTTGCAAAAAAATTTATAAAATAAAGACAAGGAAAATGAGATCGATATACCTTTTGTAATATAATATCCCTAAATGACAAATTGTGATAAAAACAGCAAACATTAAGTCAGATACTTCGTAAAAAAAACATTGTCGTAACTTTAGCAATCTGTTTTAGTCGCGAATAAGTTAATATCCTCGAGGGGACTAAATGTGTTCCCACATGTTTACGTTTGCACTTGTATTATAGTTATATGTATATATTGTTCCGACAATATATCGTAAGAATAAAGCATTAAGAAATAGCACGAGATGCCAAAATTAAAAGATAACGATTTTGTACTATGTCATGAAATTCGAGAAATAAATTTACACGATCGCAATAATTATTTCGATTAGAAAACTACGAACATTCGCAAAATTGCGAATTCGCTGTAATTGTCGCGCTTTCCACTCACGAATTTTTTTACGATCTTTTTGCTGTGAATAAAAAACTCCTTATTGTATTTATAATGGAGATAATAAATTAAATGTTTGTTTAGGATCCCAATTACGGAATTAAAGATTCTTTATTTTCTGAGAATTGATAATAATTTGATTAAATAAATCCCGAAAATCTATTATTACTAAATTGAATAGTTATATATATATATATATATATATATATATATATATAAAATAAGAATTTGTAATAAAAAAAGTTTTCTTCTCTATATTCACCATATGCGTAGAATGATGTAGAAAGTACTTTATTTTTAACAATAAGATTCCAATATCTTAATGGAATAATATACAGGAATCTAAGTAGGAAGATTAGATAAAGTGGATGAAAAAGGATCGTAAATGAGGACGCAAGGGAAATGAAACTATATCAGCTGAAATAGAATATCAGCTTTTATTTTGACTAGAGAGAATCATTATAAAACAAGACTAAATATACTAATGCGTAAAGTCCGTAAAGGATCATTATCGCGAGCTAATACTATATTCATGCCATATTTGCCAGAACAAGGCGATTTCTATGTCTGTTATTGCATAGCTGGTCTGCTATCAAAGAGGAAACATTATCTGCCATTTCGTCAATTGTAATAATTTTACCTTTCTCATTTGTTGATTATTAAGAGAAATCATTGTTTGCTCCACTTGGATAACAATTTCATATTTTTTACTTTTATTGTTATTTTTACTATAATACTTTCATGTTAAAAAAATGCGATATGATTCTTTGATGGAAAAAAATCCGATTTAATAATTATTCAAAAAAGCAAAATTAGGGGAAAAGTAAAAATTTTCAGGATACTACTACAACAATTATATGATCGCAAACATATAATTGTTATAGCACGGAATTTCTGCTTCTAGTTTCTATGTGATGTTTTATTTTTTAAATAGTCTATTAAAAAAAATATATATATATATATATATATATATATATATTTTAAACTTTGTACGCGTGTTATTTCGCAATGAGAAATCTCTTTTCATACAACAAGAAATAACTTTGCACGTGCAGAATATGATCAGGAATTCGAATCGATCATTAATGCGTCGTCGAACGGAGTCCTCTTACGCGGTCGTCCTTCTCGTATAACATAAACGCGCAATAATATCCATCTATATCCGCGAACGCCGTACGTGTTCCGGATGTTCTACCTCAGCAGGGTTAGTTTGCGATTTTATGGAACAAATGCTTTCTCATTGTCTGCGGTTCTATTATGCTGTCGCATATGTCGACTTCTATATGTATACTTTTCGTTCAAGATATATAACGCGTACTCTCGTATTTGAATGATCTAATTTCACCGCACACTGACATAGTAAAATAAACAATTAAAAACTTTTCTGAAAGAGCGCGATGATGAGAACTTTATTATCGAGCGCAATAATAGTGCAAAATTGATTAATTTTTTGCAAAATTACAAATACGTTCTCGATATAGATATAAGATGAATTAATTATTCATAGTAAATTGCTTTAGATGCATTCGTCGCTGTTTTCCTACAAAATATTGTGTTTTCTGAAAACTTGTTTAAAGAGCTTACGTACACCGTAAGTAGATATTTGTTGCTCGAGTGCACTCCCGAGCACACCGATCGTTCAATTTCATTTCGTAGAAAGGCTAAAGTACACCTGAGACGAGAGACTGCAACGAAATCGTGTTCACACGATGAGATCCTTTACAATTATCGATTTACACAGAAAATTTGCGGGAATTTCTACGGAATTAAATATATATTTTATAAAAAATATTTGCTTAATAAAGTGTCCTGGTTACATTGATTAAAAAGAAATCACGATATCGTTGCTTCAAATATTTTCTTCTTTCGTGATATGTATACATTAAATGTACCATTTTCCTACCAAAAAGATATTTGTTTATGTGCGGAGAATAATATTCTCTCTTGTAAATGTTAAATACATACATTATCGATTACAATTAAAATATAGATTAATCTTTATGACTTACTCCGTCCGGATGATATTTCGCGCCACACGGCGTTGTGTTGTTCCCGCAAAATTCAGTCAAAACATCCTGAAGTTTCCGTGTGGAATCTGAAAAATAATTAACAGTTCGATAATTCGTTGTGTTTAATTAAGTATTATGCTATGATATAGAATGACAATTGTCAAATATCAAAGAAATAATCGAAATTTTTTAAAATTTAAATTTCAATTTTTATAATCAATCTAAATAACACAATTTTCATATCAACTCTATATCAAAAAATGTTATTTAATAATAATATGAAATACAACAGCAAGTTGAAAAGTAAAACTTTATTAGATGGAAAGACTTGCGTCATATATTATGGTAAAAAGTGAAAAGTAATATTTAAATCGTTTTTTTTTCTAGATTTCTAAATTATAAATAAATTCTTGTATTAATTAATTATTTTTAAAGATTAAAGATTTGTAAATGTATAATTGCGGTAACTATTTACTGAAACAAATATTATTTCACACAATTTATTCATTTGAAATAGAAATCAAAATAGAGAGAAATTATTAATTATGGTTTAATTGTGACACAAGCGATAATTATTCTCTTGAGTTATATAATTTATATTATATAATTATATACACTATATAGATATAATTTATAAATTGATTTTTTATTATATATAGGTATCTATATTATCTATATTACATCGACTTTTCATTGATAAAACTTTCAATCGGTGTGACTTTGATTTTGACATGAAGAATTCAGTACCTGGAAGATTTATTCTGAAAGGGAAGCTAAGTACACAAGACACTGCATTTCCACGAGTCGATGCCAATAATTGGTTAAATGGCTGACATGTAGCGAGCGTATTTGATGTGCTAAATAGTACATCTGCCAATAGCTAATCGTGTTATAATTAATTCAGGAGACCGAGTAAAATACCGAATTAACATTCGATTTTTTATGTTTTTGCGCGATATTCTCTTTGCACTTATATAATATTATTGTTATCGAGGATTATACTTTTTAATAGAATGCTAACAGAATTGAATATCTCATTGAATCAGTGGTGAACAATGCTTAATGAGAGCACGCTTCGATAAGCGGCTCGACTCAAATTAGTCGATTGCCAGATAAGATCGTTCTTCTTTCTCTAATCCTATATACATTATACATACGTTTCACTTTGACAAATTAATTAGAATAGTTTAGCATGACGAAAAGTTGATATTTATAATTACAATTTTTTTAATATTACTTATTTTGTGTGCGCTGCTATAATATAATATTATTATTTATTTTTACATCTGAAAGGTTGATATACATATAATTACAATTTTTTAAAATATTGTTTAGTTTCGCTGTAATTTGGATCTATATTTGTATGTTGTAAATCAACGGAATTTTCTATGTCAATTCTACTATTGCGCGATCGGTGAGTGAAACATTTTTATTTTGTGGCGACAAACACCAAGTTTGTCATTAAGTATAATATCATAATGTTCTTAAACTTTTATTCTATTATATATTATATACAAGTATTTAAATATTTTTTCGTATTTATAGCGCATGTTTCTTTACTTCAATTGTTTTTTTATAGATTTATCCTCGTGATATTACTTTCGCAATTAATTAAAACTTTCTGTAAACTCATTTCACTTTATAATCAAGTCCTTGTCCGCGAATGTAAGAAGACATGAATTTTTTCTGGCATTGTTCTATTGTGTATTTCAAACAAAACATCGCCGAAATAATAGCTTATAATAATACCAGTAAATTTGTCGACAAATGGCAATTTATTTTATTTCGTGGAACAAAGTGCAACGCTTGTACGTACAATGAATTAGCGCTTTCTTGCGTGAATGCTGCGCTTGTTACTCCTTCTCGAGAAATGTATTAGCTGTTGTTATAATCTCGCATTTCCGTCAGCCCACTGTAAAATACTAGACGACGGTGTATGTACCTATACATCGTCAAGCTCGTGCGATCGAAAAGTTATATGCGGAAAATCCGGAGACATTTGCTGTCGACGAGTAAATCGCACGGAAATATATGATAGTCGATGAAATATGAATTTTGACGTTCAAATCTATTACGTCAACGAGATTATATAATTGATAATTTTATAGACAAATATTTTTTCTTCATTCTTATTTATTTTGTGAAGAAATTTCTTAAGATTTATCGTTTTTATTTAAATATTCGTAGAAATATTCGTGAGATTTATAGAAAAATTATCGCAAATTATAAATTGACATACATATGACATTTTAAAATAATTAAATATAAAAATTGCTTAATAAACTGCTTAAATTTTTGAAAGATAAAATATGCATGATGTTTTATTATAGAAAAAAGCAAAGGTACATAAATTTAACAAAATATTCGATATTTATTTCCAACCTTTCAGTATATATATTTGCATTATATTTGAATGATTGTATTGATCTCGCGATTTATTTTTGGTAATTTAACAAATTCCCAACGGTTGACTTTCATTTTGTACAATTAGACAGAATATAAACTTTCAATTTACTTTCATTATATTTAATTGAAGTGAATCAAAAGTGCTATCTGCAATTAAAGATAGTGCTTTTATGAACGTAACAATATAATTTGAAAATATATACTATAATAGGTATATTAGAGAACTATGTGACAGCTTATGACAATTATGTATATGCAAAAGGATTTATTCATTTTAAAAAGCAATCATTATTTCATTTTATTCAATTTCCCCATTTCGGAGCGAATATGTAATTACGTTTCGAAATGTTCCGGCAAAGTGCCAGAATCCTTTTATTACGACGTATTTCCTCGCGTTTGCACTTTGACGATAACGAACAATACCATTATCCGTCTTTCATCATTCAAATAACTTCGTTGTCTATCGCAGTAATTCGATTCATACGACGATAATCACCCAATGGTGAGCGCTACTATATCTCCATCGAAACAAAATTTTTAAAGAACTCGACAGGAATCATGAAAAATTTATCTGTGCGTTCGATGAATAAATTCGTGCGCATGATGAGTCCATAAAACTATTATACATTGAGTTAAATGAAAAACGAAAATAATTAAACGAATTCGATTCATTCTTATGCAACATCATGTAATCGACTCTCTAATAATTAAAGTAAGAACATATTTTTTTAATCATAAGAATTTCATAAACGCAATAATACATTTAGAAACAAATAAAAATAAAATTAGAATAAAATTCTACTTTTATTGAGCATAAATTGCAGTGGGTAATTATTTGTAAACATCAAAGAACGCGTTAAAAAATTTAGAATTTTTAAATGTACGAATTATATATCTTGAGGGATTTCTTATTCAGAAATTGAATCTAAAATTATATCAATAATAATTGATTAGAAATCTAATTTTCCTCAATTTTCTGCTTACAAATTATTAATAGTGTCCAAAATAAAAATCAAGGAATAGAAAGTTGTCCGCTCTAAATTTCGTCGATATTTTATAAGTCAAAGTTTGTCAAACTTTATTAGTAACAGACTTCAGAATTTACAATCTATAAAAATTTAAACGAAAAAGAAAAAAGAAAAAGAAGGAGAGAGAAGAGAGAGGATACGCCATACTTTTCGTTGTGATTTATCCGCATTATTCTACACGTTTCAGCACTTCCTTTTCTATTTCCTTTTTTTGTTACTTACAAGCTGCCAAGTCCTGAAGTTGTTGGAATTCTGCTGGCGAAAGCTTATCCCAGTGAAAGGCCATCCTTACTTTCGGTTTATGTGTCCCTCAGGACGAGCAGCTAGATGTTCAATATTGAAATTCGTCACCTGCAAATCAAAAGGATGCCATTACGTATAAAATATAAATCATAGTATAGGGTGTTTTTCATACACAATTATATTCTCACTGTTTTTACATAATAACCCTGCCGGATATTACATTGATGCTATTTAGAAAGATAGTAATCGTCCACAAAAAAAACAATAGATACATAATAGGCACTGATCAATAGATGGTTTATAAATTTCCAAATAGATTGATTATTATTAAAAATAGAAATTATTTTAATAATTATATATGTGATAATGCATTAGTATCGAGGAAATACTTCATTCGTCTATTTTATAATTTAAAATGCATTAAAAATTATTAATAATATATTCTACTTTATAACACACATGATTATATAGCAGAATTTATATAAAAAAAGAATTTATTTATTATTTTGTACAATAATGTACAACTAATATGATTCAGATGCGATTATCATATAATTCGTATAAATTATAAAATATATGTGGAAAACGCATTATCTTTTTTTATTTTTTTTTAATTAAAGATCAGATTTAAAACATCGAACCGTGTATATAAATCAGCTTTAGTTTAGGTAAATTAAATCAATTTACAGTAAAGTAATATGTTCGTTGTTGATTTACTATTCGCTAGTACTTTATGCTAATATAGTCTCCAGCGATCCCGCATGTACATTCGTTACGCATCTCTCGTGCTAAAATTACAGATTTACGGTTACTGTGACCGCTTTTCTCTCGCTGTAAACGCGCCTATATGCAAGAGAGGAATTCGTGCAATTAAGCATATCTCTCTCGCGAACGTGACGGCGCGTGGACATATATTTCGTTAGTGAAACTCATAATGTCCAATAAAATTCGTTCGTTCAATGCACATAAAAATTTATCTGCAAAGAAAATGCACGATATGTATTCACATTCGATGCAAAAAGATTTTAAATATAAAATTATTAATTTTTCGGAATTTATGATTAGTTATTTGCATCAGTTAATATATATAATCTGCAAAAATAAAAAATTAAATTTTTAATAAAAGATAATTTACAAAAATCAATCAAAAAGATATAAATATAATATTGCATATATGTTACATATTTTTTGTAAAGATGTACATATTTTAGTTGTTTTTTTGTAAAGTAAAATTTTTTAAATAATCAATATAGTTGAAAATAAAAATAATTTGATACGGGTAGAGAATTATTCTTTACATAAAAATTTTCTTTTTCCAAAATATTATTAATTACGAATTAAATGATATTATGTGCTTTCTTTTGTGAATTTATTTACAAGTGTAATGATACTTGAAGTATTCTATGTATTATAATTTTGAAATACAAGATTATTTGAAAATGTATTTTTATACATAGCATTAATATTTTTTAAATATTGTAAAAAATTATGAAACAAAGAGAAACCCAACTCAATGCCATACGATGGCTTTGATTATTTCAGATATACAATAGCGACATATCCTCGCGCAATACTTGTTGGCAAAATAATTTTTTTTTTTGCTACATTCTTAATTTTTTTCTTTGAATATTAATGACATTTTATCGAAAAAACTAACGTTTCAATAATCTATTTTTCTCTGAATAAGTGAAATCGATACTGTAAATACCACTGATGCGTAACGATTTAGATACAATCATCCGGATATGAATAATGAAACCGCCAGTGAAGCGGCTTAAAAAAGAAAATCTCGGGGATGACGGTGTATCAATGAGAAATTAAAAAAACATATCGGGACAAATTATTGCTATTTCGTATATCGGGAGCCTTAATCCGTAGCGTATCGTTGATAACGAGCTTAATCGACGGACGAACCGCAACGCATGATCGCATTAATCTCGAGCGCTCCTGCATGCAACACTTTGCTATTGCATAAAAGTGAAAGATTCGATCGCCCTCCCTCGCAGATGCATACGCGACGATAATTTCGTCGTATTACGGATATAATCTACTCTTGCGCGCGCGCGAAATTCGGCGCACACATTTCGCACGTCATGAGCGTGAAATGAAATTTTGCTGGTCCGTTGGCTTCTTCTGTGATATACATCTAGGCTGGCCCCGGCTGTGGCACGAACAAAATACCATCAATCGATGCGGCAGGCGCGCAGTGTTGTAATTAGTCACAGATACATACACACACACACACATATACATAGAAATCCGAATGAAGGACAGCCCGAGATGCAGTCTAGCGCGCGGCCGGATAATCCCACTCGGAGAATAAATCCCAGCGACGCGCGCAATTGCGAAGCTTTTTCGTCCAAGAGCTTCTCACTTTACTTTTTGCCTAAGTATCACAGCGGCGGAAAAGCACATGTGGACTTTGGCTTGAAACTCTGTAGACGACTTTTAGAAAGAGATCTGTGCTGGATGTAAAACATGATTTTCAAGAAATATGCTTGCAATTTATATAAGCGATTTATGCATGCGAAAGATAAATCTGCAATATGTATAGCTTGAGTTACTATCGTATTTTCACGCTAATTACACGCTAATTGTACGCAAAATAATTACGCACACGTTTCTAGGAAGATATTTTTTTTACATAAAGATCTTGTTTAAATAACTTGCAATGTAACGTTGTAAAAAGACCTAAAAGAATTTGTTTCTAGCAATCTTTTGTTGCCTGCGGCGACACAGTTTTTCAGTGCGAAAATATATTCTTTTTACAATTTTTTTCAAATGATGAAAAGGTATGCTATGTTATGCGTGTTTGTGTCATCCCCCGTTTGGATAACTTTTTTTTTAGTTAACAAATTGGTCTCACCACTTGTGGTAATATATTGTAACTAAAGAATTTAATTTCACAATTTCTGTAAATTCTCGCTTTTGTTTTGTTTTGTCAAATATCACATTTGTATATATATGTATATCGCTATGAATTATATCAGTTTATGTATTTTGAACAATACATAAGTTTCAAAAATTGATTTTTTTTCAAAGAATTCTTTGAATTAATTATTAATTCATTTATTGGAATTTTATCTCCAAAGTAAAAAATATGCGTTTCAAAATTTTAAAAGATGAATTATAATGGAAATTATTTATTTTGTCGATAATTTAATCTGTAATCCTTTGTCATCTAAATTAAGTTAATTTAACGAGGAATGTTGAATTTTATATTTTACGGTATCCTCGTGGATCATAAATTCGCACATTGTCGACTGCAGTTTAATCTCTTATTTTTACAATCTAGTTAGAATTGCGTTTCTTGTGCGATGAGGGAAAGCGGGAAAGCCGTCTACAACAGAATAGTGTGTGTCTCGCGTTACAGCACTTACAACGACCGGTGAAACCGTAAACCCAAGTACACGAACTCGACGGAAGGTAGTTAAGTAAATTTATTATCCTTCACCAATAAAACGAAATGAAATATACACCATCGTCAGTTAGTCATGATAGAATCACCGTATGTCCACGAAGACAAGCACGACATGCGGTATACATTCGTATGCAATGCTTGCATTGCACTATTGCAGTATGTATGTACACACATGTAGCGTAATTCAAAGCTGGACAATAGTGCTAATGATAAAACATGTTTCTATTTCGTATTGACAAATTCTCTCGTTTATAGTTACGCATTTTTGAGAAATTTTTAAAAATTATTATCTAAATCACGATCGATATCATAAATTATAAGTTTGTATACTATAGGGTTTATAGTTCAAAGCACACGAATAAAAGACTCGCAGAATATTTTTCTCGGATAAATAATATCTGGATTTGACAATCAGTAAGACCATCATGAATCTTTGTTTGAGAAAAATATATATCGGGCAATATATCAGATAAATTATGGCACGACGCAAAAATGTGTGTGTATATGTGTGTGTGTGTACGCTTTTCTCCAACGAGCTTGTTTTCCGATAATAATAAGACAAATATTACGTGTATCTTGAAAATATAGGTACTTGTAATCTACTTAACCGTTTTCGCTGCATGAGCCATTATATATATATATATATATATATATATATATATATATATATATATATGTCAGTATTAAGCTTATTAACATTACTTATGTTTTTTAGAAACAATATATTAAATAAAATGAATTAATTTCAATTTATATATATACTACATACACCTATATGTATATATATATAATACATATACTACTGTTTTTTATAAGAAAATTTTTACATACGTTTATATTTAATTTTACTTTGATATTTATATTTATAAAAAAATTTTAAGTATATCTTGTTTTATACAAAGTTCTATTTTACATGCACAGTATTGCAATAAATAAACAATAAATCTCTAATAGATTTTTGTCAGGTGTCTGTTGCATTTCGATAGTTTCTATTTGTTTTTCGACATTATTTTTAGTATTATTCGTTCCCATTTTTCGAGGATCAAATATATACGTCATTCGTTTTTTCCGATTTTTTAATTATAGAGCGCTCCGAATCACTGTCAATCCTGATAAATAAAGTTAAAAAGTCAAATCAACGAAACATAAATATAAATAAAAGTTTTCTTCATTCATTAATGTTGCTAGATAATTATTCATTTATGATAATATCGCAATATATTATCGAAAAAATGTGCGTTACTGAAAATGTAGAGGATTTAACGGAAAAGTTCAACAGAATTTAACTTTTTTTTATTTCCCTCTCTCTTTCTCTTTCTCTTTAATAAAATAATTTTCCATTCTGTTATGTCATGGACTACACTTATAATTAAAAACGCGAAAAAATGATAATCTTTGCAAAAAGATAGTCCATGTGCGTTTAAATAAAAAACGTTGCATTTTATATGCGTAATCGATTGCGTAACGAACAGGAAATAAAATACGGAGAATTGAATATTAATAACTGTTCCGTGCAAAGAAAAGTTCTGGATTTGAAAAGTAATTTTAACGATAAAAATGTTATATTGCTAGAAAATACAATCATAGTAGCATGATTGTAACACGATTTAGAATTGTGTAAAAAAAATTATGTTATATATTATTTTATTAGATTTATCGAACTTGTAAGTCAAATTTTTTAATAATT